TTTACATTTTTTCACGCTTTCGCCGCATTTTCAGCACACTTTCAAAACCGGTAACAAGAGGTATTGCGCATTCCTCACCTCGCGAGGCAGAAGCCTGCGCAGATATTTGGCGAGTGTGGGGTCGCCCAGATATGTGTTGGTCAGCTGGTGGGGCTGCTGGCAAAACACGCCCAGATTGGCGCGGGAGACGGGCGGCACAGCTCCCCGTTCGGCGCGAGACAGCGAGAAGAACCGCGCGGCCAGCAGGGCATCAGATGGCCGCCGGCCACGCGCTAAGCGCGGGGACTGCCCACAAACCCTCCACAGGCAGCACGCAAGCATTGCAGCTGTGAAGTGTACTGTGAAACAGGACAGCAAGCATAAAAAATACTGCAACAGTGATACTACAGACAAATTCTTTAAAAAATGCATTCTTAGTATCTGGTTTACAGCAGCACATCCACCACCAAAAACATGTGACATATGGAAGGGTTTAATATTGCTGCAGGTAGTGATATATGAGTAGCTTGGAACAGAAGAAGTAACTCCTATCAAACTGTCCAGCACCAGCCAACACTTCCTTCCAATACCAGAAAATTGTCTATAGATGGCTGGGACAAATGCTAGCAAGCACCTTTAAAGTCATGCAACATGGCAGCAAGTGGTATGTCACATGTAAAATGGGTTGTCACACACACACACACAACACTCATACAGTCCCATATGTTTCAGAAAAGAGACTCCCAAGACAGGCAGCATCCTCCCAAATATATAATACGTGCAATGACACATCCAAAAAGGTTTCTTAAGCAGTCAGGGGCTCTAGACATGGCCCCATGGCCCTGGTCCAGGCCCAAGTTTTTTTGAAGTGGTTAATGCATGCAATGAAATGTACAGGCACTGAGCTGCCACTGAAACAACCAGGCATCAGCCTAGAATGTTAAGGGGGACAGGGAGCAGCTGACACTAGGAACAGGTAATAGTCTAGTATGGGCCTGGGCAGCCCAGTGGCACCCAAGTTTTATAATAGGTGGTTATCAGGGGTGTAGTTTCCTTTTCATTTGGTGGGGGGGGGGGGGGTTCAGCCCCCTCCTCCCCAACTTGACCACCAGCCCTCCCCTAACTTTGAATGGAAAGTAGGCCAGTCTGAGTTTGACACACAAAAGCACATGTTTCAGTGCACCAATGTTGCATAGGCAGTTGGTGCAGTGGATGGGTTTCACTGCAGCCTGGTCTATGAGTTAGCATGAGGTGCCCATGTGGTGCAATATATCAGTCACAGACTTTCCAATTTTCTTTTTTAGCTGGAGATGGAATATTTTTTCTTAACCCCTGGATGAGGCCTTACAGGTTTCATACTGTCTTACTTGTTGGAATGAATAGTCTATTTTGGTGACTGCTCACTGCAGCCTGGTCTATGAGTTAGCACGAGGTGCCTATGTGGTGCAATATGTCAGTCACATGCTTTCCAATTTTTTTAAAGCTGGAAATGGAATATTTTTCTTAACCCCTGGATGAGGCCTTACAGGTCACATACCGTCTTACTTGTTGGAATGAATAGTCTATTTTGGTGATGAACCCACCGAAAGCACAAAATGACCCCAGAAGTTGATGCACCCTAAAACCCCAATCATCATCAGCCCACCGAAAGCACTTTAGTAACACTTACCTGTCACGCTCTCTCAACCCATCGGTTGAACTAGGCAAGGATGGAAACTGCGCATTAATATAGTATATACGAAATCATTTATAATTAATAATTTCATTCACTGCATACCTAAAATGCTGCCAGCTGCGCTAACACAACACAGCCACCAGATAGCTGCATTCCAGCCCCACGGAGAAGCTGAACCGAATCGGCTGCCGAACCAACTGAAGAACAAATATTGTGCGATTTGTAGTACAAGAAGTGGATTGTTTTGAAACACTGCGTCAACAATCACGCAGAGGAGACATTTCTGTTTTGTCTGTAACGAGCTGACAGTGCTATCACAAAGAAGTTGTCAAATCATAGCGAGTCTGTACCGTGCTTTGAAAGAACGTGAGCAAAATCTGCAAGTTGTCGGATGCACGGAATAGATAGCCCCTGGTGCACTAGTGTACGCCAATAAATCAGTCGCGATATTTCATACGCTGATGGCCGGCAGCGGTTTTGGGAGACGATAGGGGAAGCGGGAGTATTGTAATTGGGGAAAATCCACACTGGCTGTGTTTGCATTCAGTGTTGTGCTGTAATTAAAGTAGCTGCAGGGTGTAGGCGTTGCAGAAGTATAGGCTACAGACCGAATCTGCTCTGCCGACTTCTTTCGTTGCCCAAGGCCTGCGGGCTGTGTTTTACGCCCGGACGACGTGAATTGAAAGTGAGTCCCCGTCCGAACATAATGTGCTATCAATGAATGCAACATGTGGTGAATTCCGCAATTGCAAACGTCTGGAAACAGCAGGAATGGTGGGAAGCACTAAAAACTGGATAATTATTTTAACTTTTTGACCTGTGATTCAAGAATAGGCAAAGGAAAAAGACCAGGACATTAAGTGCAAATCAGACATAAATGATATTTCAGGCTATGCTTATCAAGAAGCTTTAGAAAATTCAGTAAAACATTGCATGTGAAAAAGGCATGGTGATACAAGAAATGCTCCTGGTTTGTGTAGACCCTGCCAATAAAACATTCAAAAGATGTCATCCAAACTACCAGACTTTTAACTGTACAGAGTTGGGAGCTTGGGTGATTATTTTGGAGATGTTAATGTAAAAGTGTTTGTGGAGACCAAAAGCAGTTTTGGGTTCATTTGCCTTATTTTTTAAATATAATGTTTTGCTGAACTTTTCTGAAGCCTTTCTATGGTGGGTATGAGTAATAGCACAGCTTGAATTGTTCAGCATTGTCAATATAACTGCCATTTAGTTCTATGATGTTGTTTAGCAAGCACCTTTGGGTATTGAAGACTTCCAATTAGCATAAGAGCCTTATCCTGTAATAACATTAACCAGACTGCAGGACATTCTCTCCCATCCTGAATTGTAACCCTCCCCCCCCCCCCCCCCACCATCCAACTGTTGCAATGCACCAATACAGTGGCAGCATTCTAAGACATTGCAACTTATGCTCTGAAGGTAAGTCTTTGTCATCCTTAGCTGTTGCTGGATGGGAACCTATTAAAAACAAGTTTTTTCCTGCTTCAACTGTAGTCATATAGCATCCAAGGCAATTGAAAGCCATTTGATGCTGTGTTAATGGCTAGGTGTTATTTGGCCCCATGTTGTACTTATGCTGCACAATAATGAGCAACAGCGGAAAACCAGACATGACAATTTGTGACGATGTCCATTTGATCTCTTGGAGATAACTGGGATTTGATTATTATCCAGGTCTAATAAACCTAAATGTTTGCCAATAAACAAATAAAAATTGCTACTTTTGTGTAACATGGAAGGCCACTTTCCATACCTAATCCACATTAAGTGCATTCCAAATCATCTATGCCATAATAAAACGACCTAGCATCAGTAAAATATCAATTTGGGTCATACATCATCAGCTTTGCATCTTCTTGGAAAGGTGAATGGCCCAGGATAGAGATAGGTGTTTTTAGAGATAGGTTTCAGTGCTCCATTACCTCCATGCTTCAAGAAGTCATGCACACTTGGGATGACACAATAAAGCTGTTGTTGTATAAATGACTCAGCAAGTCTTTACATGGCATCAGATCTCAGTGACCTGGTATAAACTGCAACTTTTGTCTGGAAATGTGTGTGATAACTGTATGACTAGTTCTGACCAAATTGCATGGTGCTGCCAGTAATCAGCTTTCCATGGTCTCAAAAATATTGCTGATGAGTAGCATTCACACCACTCCCTTGGCTATTGCTACTTAGTTTCAGAAACACCACACTTGCCTTTAGCAACAACCAGCAGATGGGTTCAGCTGGTGACTGTAAGTGTGATATATATCATGATTAATTTCTGATCTTTTGTTTGAAAGTACTGGGAAGTACCAAGGACTGAGATATTGGACACATCAGCTTAAAATCAATGTTAGTCATTTTGAAAAAGCTACCACTTGTGGAAGGTAGTGTTAACTGTAAAAAGTAAAAGCTTATGTATCTGTATCTGTATCTGTGTCTGTATGTTTCACAAGAGGACCCTATGTTTATCCTGCTGGAAAATTGGCAGGGGTGTGCAGCTGCTCATGTCAGGTTTGTGTGTTAGGGGAGCAAGTCAAGGCAACATTGGGGGGGGGGGGGGAGGGGGGAATCAAATCATTCCAAGATACTGTGTGCTAACATAAAGCTACCATTTTTATGTTTGCTGCTTGGTTTGAACACAATAGTGGTGCCTTTTTGATCCATGGTCACTGTAAATGATAACCAGCATATGAGCATGCATCTGGATTCCAGAATACTTTTTGAACTTTCCAGTGCCTCATTAGTCCTTCACAGCAGCTGTCTGCCTGCAGGCTGCTGGGTGGGTCAAGCACTCTGTAATCCACGCGAGGTACTGCGCTATTCTCGTGTGGCGTGACAAACGGCGCCAGCTCACTGTCTCTGCTGGAGCGGCCGTCTCCCGTGTCCGGAATGGTGCGTGTGACAACCCCATCGTCTCGCGCCTCTCGTGCACAGTGTGGCGTGTGGTGCCCAATGTGATGGTGCTCTCATCAGTGTCTGCTTGGTGGGCCACACTGCTCTCCAGGGGCGCATGTGTTGATTATGTTCAGCTCTGCAGCATCGTCACGGGCATTGCTCAAGTCTCGTGTCTGGGGTGTCCCCACTGTTCACATGGATGAGTGGATGTGAGGTTAATCTATTTCTGTGCCCCTCGTAACTTTATTCGCCGTATTCCAGCACTCGGGTGTCTGACTTCAGAGATTCAGGTTCAGATTTCAGATTGCACTTGACAACAAATCCAAACCTGTATGGCTTGCCCTTTCCATGCCTCATAATATGAAAATCTGATGAGTCAAATCACAAAACAGCAGTTCAGTGCACGCTTGTCGTTTAGTGATGCTTCTACATTCCCTGCGTATCATCGTGTTGCACATGCAGAAAACGTCACTCCAGATGGTACTTGAAACTCTGCTAGTTTGCATTAAATGGAAGCCGGCCGTATTCTTGCACTCCACCGTAGCAAAAAGGCAGCGGCCTAATCTCCTGATTTGGTACCGCGGTAACAAGTGTCGGATGGCACCCCTTGTCTCGCACTGTAGCCGCACCGTGTCTGAGATCTCTCCCCCCCCCCCTCCGATACACTGACCCTGCTATTCAGGCCTGCCCCCTCAGAACTGAATTTGAAGCCTGTTCACCATATCCAACTGCAGTCACACATTTGAGAGTGACTGATGCCACATTAGACATCCCCCATTTTTCGGTGTGTACCCAAACTACCCATTTTGCCATCACTGGGTCAAAGAAAAACATACTTTGCAATGCTTATTCCTATGCTGTTGGATGAGGTTGCGAGTTACGTTGCCTTCTCATAAGCCTTTGAAAATGTTTAAAGTTTCATTCTGTGTGACGTAGTACTGACTGTGCTCTACCAAAGACATTCAGGGCTCATTTTGAGCACAATGACTTCGATTACTTCTGTTCTGACTTCTGTTACTGATGAACGGCCACTGCAATGGCAGAAATAAGATGTGTGTACAGCAGGATAGCAGTAATACTTTCGAACTTCAAGCCACGTTACGAATCACAGCAGCTCCATGCATCCTAAAATAACCCAAAGCTGTGTATGGCAGAGCTTTAGCATACATACAAAGGCTAAAACATCTGCCCAGAATCTAACACATGACACCCGTCGAAATAGTAGAAATGGTACGTGCCTGTAAAACAGGACTTGAAGCTGGCCATGGCGTCATGAAGAGTTGGTCGGCGCAGCCATGTGAGCTGCGAGCCGGCACGGCCGGCCGACCGGTGCCGCGTCCAGAAGACGGCGCGCCGACGCCCCCACCGGCTGCCGTGTTACAGATGAACTTCCAGCAGTCGCTGTTCCCGAGCCTGGAGCCGGCCATCACGTGCCAGCCGTGGAGCCGGCTGGACCGGCGCACCGACGCGAGGCCGAGCTGCGCGAGCAGGAGCAGGAGCAGCTGGAGCTGCTGAACCGGCTGCGCCAGCTGGGCAGCGAGGCGGCGCCGCTGGGCCGCTCGGCCGCCGACGGCGCCGACGAGGACGAGGAGCCCGAGGAGGATGAGTACGACGACGACGACAACGACGACGACGAGGACGAGGACTCTGAGATGGCCGAGGACCTGGACCCGCCGCTGGACCAGCGCTTCTGAGGACAGGGTCACGCCCCACGGCACCGGGGCCGTGACCGGGTGGCGGCCTAAGGTCGCGCCAGCCCTGCCCGGCTGAGCGTGGCAGGCGTGCCTCAGCGCCGAGCCTGACCGGGACGTGGCTCGTGTCTGTCCAATCAGAAGGGCGACTGGGGTCAAGCTTTTCCAGGTCGAGCCGTGAACTGGGTCAAGCCTTTCAGCCCAGGCGGGGACGGACGGCCTTATGAAACAGTTCCGGGCGGAACTTGTGCGGTGCCCGGGTGAGGCTGCTGGTTGAGTGTTGTCCAGGCTCCTTGCAGATTATGGTAGTCGTTTTGCAGTGGGGCTGAGTGCGGAGCGTACTGTGGGTTCAGAAAGTCTGCATTGTCCCGAGCAGACCGTCATATTCGTGAGGCTTAGTCGGATACGCGCTGTGCCAGGGCTCATCATTTTATGTGTTAGCGGACTGCTTTGCTCTTGAAGGTGAGTCCGAAGCGGACAGCGGCCTGTAATTTGTTCTCAATCTCTGGTGTGAGACGGCAGAGCGTAGACAACGACTAGCCTGCTTTGTAAATAAGTGTATTTTCTGGCATAGGGCCCTGATTTGAATGTAGATGAGCTGTGTTTTTGTCATTATCACCATTTCTTTGGCATTTCTGTGGCATCTCCTCAACGATGTTCCTGATGTGCTTGTCACCGTTTCGAGCAAAGTTTCTGAAGTACTTGAGCTCTGCCCGTTTCATTACGAAATAGATTGAGCTATTGCCAGCCCCACTTCCGCACTCTTTGACGAGTTTTGTGCAGAAGCCTATTGCGTGCCGACTGTTGCCTTACTGTCTGTCTTACTGACTGTCTTAAGGAGCCAAATACAATCAACACTGGGCCCGCAGCTTTCAGAGGCGTCAACAGGCAGCCGTCCTTCACGGCTGTCGCCTGCAACCGCCTCCTGACGTGGCGGGGTTGCCGACCCGCTCGTGCCCGTGTAGTGGGAGTGCGCTGTTGGTCCCGGGCGGCATCCGACGGCTGAAGGTGGCTGACCGGGGACCGCCGGCCGTGGGGGCCGCTGTTTATTGATGCTCCCCGCAGCTGACGACGCCAGGGGTCGGACGAGTTGGCTGCGCTGCGGCGGCGGAAACACTTGCTTCGATTCCCATCGTACAAGCCAGGCCGCCAGCCGGTGTCTCTAGAGGGCTTGTGGTCTGCTGTCAGCAGCAGGGACGTCCTGTGAGACCGTGACGCAATTACTCGTACGAGACGGGCAATACGCGGCGGATCATTGCCCGGGCTGTCAATTCCTGGACCGTGGTGTCCCCGCCCTGGAAGACGATATTGTGCGTGCTACTCGGTGGGGAGATGGTGTTGTGTACAGGCCGAGTAGCACGTGGCATTTGCTGTATTCTCATTAACACAATATTCCTGTATGTGTTGTGAATATATAACAATAAAGCGCGTATAGCTCATGCGATGGCACGAATGAAAAATAAAGGATGAATCTATGCTACTTTTGCAGATAATTGACCAGGTTTCTCGCACGAAAGGAACGCTTAGATTCTTAGATTTAGATGATGCACTAGCTCATTGAACCGTTGGGAGTTATTGTTATTACTGGCATTGTTATTGCCGTTATTAGTGTTTCACTCCGCGCCATTTTGGCAGTCAGGGCCACAAGTTACGGTCTTAAGATGCTGAAATTAAGCCCCAATTTTGTATTCGCGTTACCCTGCCATCAGAGTCAAACATTTCCGACATTCGACTCACCATCAGACCTCAGTTTCCCTGCGCCTCCCCTCGCGCCCTCCCGTCGGCGCCCGTCCTCCCGCTGCCCGCCCTCCCGTCGGCGCCCGTCCTCCCGCTGCCCGCCCTCCCGCTGCCCGCAGCCTATTGCGCGCAGTACTCAGTAATCCGCGCGCGAGTGGGTGCGCTATTCTGGGGCGGCCGGACGAACGGCGCCAGTTTATCATCTCTGCCGGGGCGGCCGTCTCCGGCGCCCGGGCGGACGGCGCGGACTCCGAGGACCGACTGTTGCGCGTCGTCGCCTCGCCCATCTCCATCTCGCCTCGCATCGCCCGCCCCATCCGCCCCGTGTGCAAAAGGTGGCGCGTGGTGTCCGGTGCAACAACCACCGCGTCAGCATGCGTGCGGTGGCTCCATTGCTCTCCAGTGGGCCAAGTATTGATTCCGTGCGGTGCTCTACGTCATTCTTGGTAGCGTTTAAGTTGATTTACACTCTGCCGCTGGAAGATTGACACTCGGGTAATCCGTTTTTGCTCTGGGCTCCGTTTTTACCATTTATTTTCCGTATCTCACCGCTCACCTGTACGGAGTCCCACCCCTCTTTTCAGTTATCCTGACGTCGATACCTGTCTGAGGTCCCTTGCTTCCTCCACACGATACGTTTTCAGAATGTCTCCAGCTATCTGCCCTTACCCCGATTTTAGCGTCTCTCCGGGCATATGCCCCACCTCCTCCGTGACGCCGTGTGCGCCGTGTGCCTCCAGGCTGGGCGATGAGCGTCGGTTCAGATGGCGTATCGTCCTCGGACGGCATTCTGCTGGCCACGGCCGGCTACGACCACACCATCAAATTCTGGGAGCCTCACACCGGCGTCTGCAAGCGCACCTGCCAGCACCAGGACTCGCAGGTCAACGCGCTCACCTTCCAGCCGGACCGCACGCTGCTGGCCGCCGCCGGTGGGTGTTGCGCCAGTCACACGCTCCCAGCGTGGGTTTTGTTGTGAGCTTTCAGGAGCTTCCGCGCGATTTACGAATTTTTAACTATAGATGATGTTCTAAAACAGCTATGTGCTTTTCGCGCGGATTTCTCGCGGTGTTGGCTGCTGTGGACCTAATTTGACCACGCCTGTGAGGACCGAACTGTGGCCGCACCTGGCCTGCCACCATGCGAAGCCATCCCACCCCGCCGTCACTGGGTCCGGCCGAAGCGCTGCCACAGCTCAATCTCGGGCCGCTTCAATCTCGTCGCCGAGAACACTCATTCGGAGGCCGTACGGAGCTCCCCGGAACCACTCGCCGCCGCGGCGGAACTCTGGCCCCGTCGAGTGTCGGCCGCTGCCTCCAGACACCTCGATCGACGCCAGGCGTCGTCCGCGGCCGGCCGTTTTTGTGGTGCACTCTCGGGTGATGACGCCGCGCGGCCGAGAGCGGCGCCGGTAGGCCGGCTCGAGTCCTGGTGCCGGTAGGCCGGCAGCGGCCCGGCGCTGCGGGCGCCAGCTGAAGTGTTATTGGACCTTTCGCGAGGCGGTATTGTAGGTCGTTGGAACGAATTAAACAGGGACAGTCAAAGCAGTAACAGTGATAAGAGTAAGAATAAAATTAGTAACAATAGAAGCAGTGAGAGCAATCCCAATTTGTTTTAACCTATTTGATTTAACTGATAACCAATAGGGTTAAGTTGATTTTTACCGATAACCAATTCAACAAGCAATGTCATCCAGTTTGCAGGCATCATTAGACTGAAAAACGCGTTGCCTTGCGCACCGTCTGGATTTGCCCGAAAGGTAGGCATGGTGCTATTCGACATTCTCCACTAACACTGCATTTACGACGCCATAAATTATCTGCGGCCGACCATCTACGGCGACGAATTGGCAATACCGCCCCGGTAAGGCTATCCCAACAGCGCCATGTTCACTGATTCAAACGTATGCCCTGAACGCTGATCCGTTTAATGTGTACGAGCTCTCGGATATAGCAATGTATGTACTGGATACGGAAGGAAGCGGGCTGTTGTGCGTTCGCCTGATGGGGAGCGGAGCGCCCCAGGCGAGCACCACCGGCGGTGGCGCCGGCCGCTCAGCTGTGTCGTGCCTCCGACGTCCCAGCCGCAGCGTTCAGGGGCAACGCACGCTGCTGTTGAGCGTACTCAGCCCTGGCGGGATGCTCCAGCTGCTCCGAGCACGTTATCAGAGCCGTCTTCGGACCCGTGCGTAATCAGGCATGCGTGCTTGATCAAACACACGCGGGATCAGACACAGGCTTGTGATCAAATACACACGCAGGCAAGGCTTCGGCCCGCACAAGTATGTAACGAAAGAACGGATGCTAGGCCGCCGACCTTTCGCTGCTGGGTAAGAGGGCGATGTGCAAACCGGACTTCCTTCCGATGGAGCGGGACGGCGGCATAATGAGCCGCGCCGCTCGGTCGTCAGAGTCTGAGCCCGGTGCCGGGGCGACGCTGGCGTCAAATGAAGCAGCGGGCTCCTGCCACCTTTAGCTGGGGGGCGAATCACGTGCCGGCGCGGCCGACACCGGCGGAGCCGGCTGGTAACTCAGCGAGCTTCGGGCGCATGCTTATGATATCTGTTGAGCCGCTCCCGGAGATCTGGGCAAGCTCATGGTGGAAGGTCAATTTAAGATGAAACTCGATTCGGGCTCAGCCATTTGCCCACACAGTCACTTCAGAACACATGTGCCCAAATTACGTCATAACCGGGCAGTTGGGGCGGGGGAGGGGAGGAGCAGCGCTATGCCCCCAACGGTCCCGGAGATCTGGTGGAAATAGCCAGACGTACGCCGCTCTCCCAGACGTGTCTGACGGATGGCGGCCGTTAACTTCATCAAGTTCACGCATCAAGCCGGGCGTGTGTGGCGGACAAAATTAGGCCGGGGTCTGCTGCCGGTCGTAAGGCGGATGGCATCAGCAGCCTGAGCAGGCGCCGTCCGTCCCCGCCGCCGGCCGGGTCGGGTGGAGGTCGGTGCCGCCGCCGGTCCACCGCCGGTCGATGTCCCGGGTCGGGACCCGCACTGCCGCGGGCGCGTCCTCGGTCGCGGCGTGCGGAGGAGGCGGCGCTCGTGTGAGATACGGCGTTGCGGCTCGGTCGGCGGCGCTGCCGCTCTGGAGCGCGCCGACCGGAGGGATATTAATACGGCGGAGGAGCTGATCAGTCGGGATACCGGCTGATATAGTGGCCCTCCGGCCTCCTGGTCTGGCTGGGAGGATATTGGTGACCGGTATGAGGCGCCCGCTTGCAGAGCTCGCCCGAAGTGTCCGACTGGGCTGCGGCGGACGGTCGACAGATCTCTAAAGCAACCGCCATCTGAGCAATAGGGGAACTCCTACTGCTAAACTTAGCATGAGGGCGATTTTCTTTTTAGCGCGGCACCTACATGAAGTATCCTGCAATGAATTGTCGCGAACCAGCCTCCTATTTCAATGCCGTAAAAGCGTCTGTCAGAAGTATTCCCGTGTTAAGGTGAGCTACGGAGGAGCGGGGCTCCACTTTGATTGGAATAGTACACATAGCTGACCTTTGACTTTATGCGTGCAGCGCAGTTTCGAAGACCTTCAGGCTCATCAATGACGTCTGCTGCTATGTAAAAACTCGTGTCTATTGAATTCTGTCATGCCCCGCTGTCGTTGCCGGGGTGCTGACAACGCGCCAATGCTTACACTAATGACGCCTGGCTGCCGCCTCCCCGCGCTGTCCCACGCTCGCGTGCCGCCGGCGTCTGCTTTGCCGGTCTCCCCGGCCGGCTCCTCCGCGGAGTGTGTTGTCCTCACACAGCGGCCCGACCGTGCCGGCGGGCCGCGCCCCGGCACCGGGGGTGGCCGCTGAGCCACCGCCGCCGCCGCCGCCAGGCTACCAGCACGTCCGCATGTACGACGTCAACTCGACCGACATGAACCCCATCATCAACTTCGAGGGCGTCAGCAAGAACGTGGTGGGCGTGGGCTTCCAGCGCGACGGTCGCTGGATGTTCACGGCCAGCGAGGACGGCTCCGCCAAGATCTGGGATGTTAAGTGAGTGCCCTGCGCCCCTCCCTGTCGGCGTCCCTCTGATTACCCTGCTGGGTTAATTGCTCGATCGCTTACTTGTGCTGGGCTTCGTGAGCTTAGATCTCCACCTACTCCCCGCGCGCTGTGACCCGGTGAGCAGTGTGCCGGGTGTCGGTAAAATTGCGAGCCGGGTGGGACAGTGGCTGATTTGGATTTGGAAGCAAGTTGCTCGCAGTTTATTTGCCTTCATTCGATTCAAAAACATGTCTCGAAACCCGCTCTGAAGCAGCGATGAGAGGTGCTAAACTTTGATGTGCCTTTACAGGAAATTGAATGAGTTGTGTAGCGCTGTTCCTATCAGAGACGGGTCGTCCATTTGTGTCCTTTGGTCTTTTTGCCGACTTTTCTGTGCAGCATTGTCGCGTGATTCATGCTATCACATCTGTGACTTGTAGCAGTCTGGCGGCCTGGCGATGATGAGATGTTACACAGCTGGGCGCCGTCCCAGCCGTACCCTGGCGGCCGCCGACGCTGACGGCGCGCTCCGCTCCGTGCCGCAGGACCGGGGGACTCCACTGCCAGCGGGTGTTCCAGATTGATCAGCCCATGACCTGCATCGTGCTGCACCCCAACCAGGTGGAGCTGTTCATCGGCGACCAATCGGGGACCATCCACCAGTGGGACCTCCGGTCCGACCAGCGCGCCAAACTGGTGAGGTCCCGCCGCCCGTCCGCCCGTCAGCATAGCCACTGGTACGCTCCCGCCGCCCGTTCGCCCGTCAGCATAGCCACTGGTACGCTCCCGCCGCCCGTCCGCCCGTCAGCACAGTCACTGGTACCGTCCCGCCGCCCGTCCGCCCGTCCGCCCGTCAGCATAGTCACTGGTACAATCCCGCCGCCCGCCCGCCTATCAGCGTAGCCACTGGTACGGGCCCTCCGCCCGTCTGCCCGTCAGCATAGGCACTGGTACGATCCCGCCGCCCGTCCCGCCCGTCAGCATAGCCACTGGTACCGTCCCGCCGCCCGTCCGCCCGTCAGCATAGGCACTGTTGCGCTCCCGCCGCCCGCCCGCCCGTTAGCATAGGCACTGGTACGATCCCGCCGCCCGTCCGCCCGTCAGCATAGCCACGGATCGCCATGGCGACAGACGGAATAATCAAAGCCGCCCATTAGCGATGCAACCAATTGAATGTTAACGATGTTTGGTCTGCACAAACACTCACGAGGTGCTCTATTTGGAAGCGGAAATATGTGCAAGCTCAATGGCGATTTCGCGTTCTTAAGCCTGAAAACGCTGGTTAAGAGCTGTTTTAACGCGTATGTTTAGCCTGGAATTTACAAGTATTCACGATACGATGCGCTCTGCTTGGGCTAAACTAGTGATTACTCCTCGATTATTTGACAAAGGCGCGAGCGTAAAGGTAGAAGCAAAAGTGCCATCTCTGGAAGCTGCCACAAAACTTCTGCAATGCGAGCACGCAGCTATTGGTGAATATAGTAATAAACACCTTCGCACGTGGGTCATCCAAAGCACAGTACCAGAAACCAATATCACTACATTTCCGGATACCAAAAGCCGTTGACGCTGGCGTCAGGCCTGGCTTCAGCCGTCTGCTCCCCGGTGTCGGTGTACCGTTCTCCCGCCGTTGCGTCGTTTATAGTGTACAATCTAAAGTTTGGCTCTGGTCGCCTGGGTGTACAGTGTTCGGCCTCGGGTCGGCTCCGTCAGCTCACCCTGCCGGCATACGTCCCACGGGGGAGGTGGGGGGGGGGGGGGGGGGGGGGGGGGATATCAGCTGGTCCAGTGCATTGGCCGGGACACGGTGCCATGACGCTGACATGCCGACATGACGCATGGGGTATGAAACCATGTGTCAACAGCTATCCGCGTCAAGTAGGAGAGCGTGACGGCGTGTGGAGAAATCCGCTCCTTGCTGTCCGATACTGACTGGACTTTTTGTCGACGTTTGCGGCAGATTGTGTGCATTTGAGCATTATCTTGATAAAATGTCATCAGTTATCCTTAAAAAAAGATGTATATGACAGGGGTTTACGCTGCCGCTAATACACAAGTGTAACTGCAACTATCAATGCACTGTTCACCCGCCAATCACACGAATTGTTGAAAGGCTCAACCATTTGGGTGCAATGTTTCACGGCGAAACTTTGGTGTCAATGACAATATTGGAGCTCATTTCACACACCAAAGCCCGACTATGATTGCCATGTTTGAGTGTAGTGACGAAATACCCTATCTTTGGGAGCTTGCGCCACTTTCGCCAAAATATGCTGCTTCTGTGGTTTCATACGATTTTCCTCTTTCATTTTGCCATATTTTCCATACGAATTGATGATTAAGTTCATCGCGCGTGTTTCATGGCCACAGGCTGGTAAGATAAAAAAAAGTGTGATGAGGGAATATAGATGTCTTATCGCAGCTGTGAGCAATGAGCGCGATGAGTCAGTGCCAGAAACACATATTTCGAATGGAAAAGCCACTAAGAGGGAATTCGAGAAGGCCAGGTTTGCAGTGTAAATGGCGGGATACGTGTGTGTTCATGTTCATTTTGCCTAAGAGACCGCGAATTCCTTTTAAAGAACCCTTTTCGAAAGTGCTGTGACCTGGAATGCCTGCATTCTCGATATTGGCGAGATGTGACCGACAGTCCGTTTGTTGGAGCTCCGTTCAGCTCCGGCTCCGGACAAGACAACGCCCACCATCTACTACAAAAACAGAAAGGTCACCCAACTCATCATGAGGAATAACATAACAGCCAACTCTGACCGCTTGGAAAAATCGACGCCGTTTACCAGTTTCGTTGTGACATAGGATATTCCTGGCTAAAAAAACAATCAAACTATGTTGGTGTCACTATCACCGCACTTTCAAGCCGGTTGGCGATGCACTTGGTTGACGGTGCTCCAAAAAAACATGTGAGAAAAGAACACGGCGGGAACATCACCCGAGACAATCTCACCAGAAACACCACTATCATAACATCATCGAACAGGAGGACGCTTTATATTTCGGAGGATGTCACGATGAAAACGTCATCACCGGAACTAAACAAGCAAACCAACCGCTCAGTTACCCTTCGCGTCATTTAGGGACGATCGGTACCATCCGTAGATATTCAGCACGTATTTACCGCTTGAATTCTTATGCTCCTAAAAAATGTCAAGCACCTAATTTCAACTTTATACAATCTGACGATCGAACTAAACTTGATACCTACTTGTTGACCCAACTTTGTATGGTATAACTTAATATAGCTGTAGACAGTTATATAGCCGGTTTTGTTCTGCGTAAAACGTTAGATATACCTCGTAAAGCCACTGACCTATCACAGGTCAAAGTCAGGCCATGACTATTAGCAAAGGCAATTCCAAGGAAATTTTTCGAACAGATGCACATTAGAAAACTTGCTTTATCGGGTCATTTTGACTCTAATTTTGCACTCCTGCATCATTAGGACATCAGTAGTTCCTTATGTTGAGCTTCTCCGTTGAACATGCCGCCCCGTGTTAGTTCTTAACACTGACCGTAAAGTGAAACATCGAAATATAATCGGGGGGTTCTGGTCATTTTGACCTTAAGGTCAGCTGCCACTGACCTGATACGAAAACAAGCGACTTTCTGCTAAAAAAGGTATCGACATTACAAGTGGGGTGCGCGGGTAGTTCTAGGGGCACTTGAGATACTGACCTCAAGTTTTACCTCGTTTGACCTTAGTTGGCATTAAGGTCAAGACCTAGGAACCTAAGAAATGACACAAATGAATTTACATACAACTCTACATACCCTGTGAATTTGGCATCTCCAGCCCTGAATTTTTAGACATCAGAAGGCTCAATTTATCCCCCCCCCCCCCCCGCCAGAGCGCGTCACATGCAGCCGACCATCCAGGCACAGGTCAAAATTTCTCACAATGAGAGCATATAGTAGACGCACGAATTACACATTTAAAATCTAGGGGGCCGTAGCATTGCTTGGTAGGCCGAAATGGCTGGCATTTCCTTGTGCGAAGTCGTGGCTAAGTGTTAAACAAATTATCAGCAGTCAAGACTCGGCGCACAGTCTGTCGCCGGCACCTCAATTAAGGCAACGCCGTACCGCCGCGGAGGTGAACTGCGCACAATTAACGTTACCGCAGCCGAGATAAGACCGCGGCCGCCGCCTGACCGGCGCCCCAGACCGGACGGCTGTGCGCGCCTGTGGCCCCGGCCCGTCCGCAGGCGGTGGCTGCTGGCGGGAGTAGGCGGTGGCCGGTTCCGGTCCGAGCACTCGGTGCGGTGGCGAGCGGTCGCAAACGACCGCTGTCCCGAACAGCGGGTGTCGATACGTCACCCGCACGCGGCGGCCGGCTGGCTGCAGTGGCAGCTTGACACCGCACAGGGGGGCAACTGTGTACGGAGCAGGCCGAGCCGGGCAAATGGCATCACGCCACAGCCGCGACGTCGTTTACGCAGGTGTACCGTTAACCGGCTTTAAAGTGCGGTGGTAGTGACACCGACATAGTTTGATTGCTTTATTAGCCAGCAATCTCTTATGTCACAACGAAACTGGCAAACGATGTCGATTTTTTCAAGCGGTCAGCGTTGGCTGTTATGTTATTCCTCATGATGAGTTGGGTGACCTTTTTCTTTTGTAGTAGATGGCGAGCGTTGTCTTGTCCTGGCTGACTGACTTGCATCCGAAAAATGGACATCCTGAAAGGCACTCAGCCTTCCGGCTAATAAGCTAGAAGGTGGAGAGGTTAGAGTTTATTTACTAATCACTAAGGGTTAAGAGTTTATTTACTAAGTTCCGGTAGAAGAGACGGTGCAAATTCTGCTTGAAAACATCTATCATCACCCAACCATCACTCCTCCTAAACTCTTCCCTCCCTTCTGGAGAATCGCCTGCGAACATGTACGACAGAGGCGCCATTTCGTGCACCAGGTGACAAACTCTACCGACAAAAGAATGGAGTGGCCATTGGGTCCGCCCTGGGACAGCTTTTTGCCAACGCCTATATGTGCCACGCGGAAAACGAAGTCTTGTAAATGCATCTCTCTGTCCCGCACTTTATGCACGACATGTCGATGACATTTTCGTAGACGTCAGCAACGAAAGACAACTGATCGAACTAAAAATGCAATGGAACAGGATTCAGTGTTTCGATTCACATGCAAACTAAGCATCAATAACTGCATTTTATTTTTAGACATCATATCATCACTGACATCACTGCTGACCAACGATTCGTGACAACAGTGCACAAAAGCCAGCAGATACTGGAGGTGCCTCAGCGCCACAAGCGAGTGCCCCGACCGGTACAAGATCAGTGTAGTGCGCTCCCATCCCCGAAGGGCCTTTAAACCCTGCTCTGATTGAACGCAGCTAGACAGTGAGCCGCATCGCATCAAACAAGTCCTGGTAAATAATGGCTTCTCCAACAGCGCCACCGACCATGAGACCAGCGGCTTTATGTCACGATATCAGACAAAAACTGACGCCATCAAACATCAACCGAATCCAATCAAGCTGTTCTATCAGAATCAAATGCTGATAGGTATACGACAGATGAGCGTATCTTCAATACAAAATACCTGAAAACGTCAAGCCAGTCAGCCAGGATGACAAGATAACGCTCACCATCTACCACAACAACAGGGAGGTCATCCAACTCATGAAAAATAACCTCACAGCCAGCTCTGACCCCTTGAAACGAACCAACGTCGTTTACCAGTTCCGTTGTAACATGGGAGATTGCACACTCCTAGAGCAATCAAGCTTCGTTAGTGTCACTACCACCACACTTCCAAGGCGGTTGATGATGCGCTTGGCTGACAGTGCTCCAAAAGAGCACGTGCGAAAAGAACATGGCCGGAACATCACCCGAGACAATCTCACCAGTAACATCACCATCATAGCATCATCGTCTAACAGGAGGAAGCTTTATTTTCTGGAGGCTGTCACGATCAAAGCATCGTCCCTGGAACTGAACAAGCAAACCAACCCCTCAGCCACTCTTCACGTCGTTTAGGGACGATTGATACCATCCGTAGATAGTATATCTTGCTATTCAGTACGGGTTTTGACGCTTGAATTCTTATGTTCCTAAAAATGTTAACCACTTAATTTTGACCATACACAATTTGACGATCGAACTAAACTTGGCGATACCTAGTTGTTATACCTCACTGGTTATACCTGTTATCATATGATGCTATCATATATTCGTCACCTGTATGTTGTGTATGTGTACATTTGAAAATGGGAGATGTAATTTTGAAACGTCAGCTCAATTAATGTATGCCAAACTTTGGCCAATTACTTTTTAGCCTCAATGATGAGCAGGCAACCACAATCAGGAAACTAGAGCAAATGCAGAAAAAAAACTTATTAAACGTATCTACACCAAGGTCTTTAACAAAACACACACACACACACACACACACACACACACACACACACACACACACACACACACACACACACACACACACACACACACACACACACACACACACACACACACACACACACACACACACACACACACACACACACACACACACACACACACACACACACACACACACACACACACACACACACACACACACACACACACACACACACACAACACACACACACACACACACACACACACACACACACACACACACACACACACACACACACACACACACACACACACACACACACACACACACACACACACACACACACACACACACACACACACACACACACACACACACACACACACACACACACACACACACACACACACACACACACACACACACACACACACACACACACACACACACACACACACACACACACACACACACCACACGCGCGCACGCACGCACGCACGCACGCACGCACGCACGCACGCACGCACGCACGATATCCCTCTCTCTTTCTCTCTCTCTCCCCTCTCTCTCTCTCTCTGTTATGATATATATATATATATATATATATATATATATATATATATATATATATATACTCCCTGGCGGATCCTTGTTAGAGATTGCGTTGATGCGCACAGGTTTCAACACAAAACCAGCAGGCACCGAACGATGAACTTGGCTGCGCCGTCTGATACCGGATTGGCTGGGGAACCTCTCTCAAGCCGGTCCGACAGCGGTCAACAAACCCCAGATCTGTAGTATATTGTGTGCGCTCTTCCAAGATCAGTGCTGCAGACACCTATCAAAATTTGACCTACGGGTGAAGAGTTGCATGAGTGCGGGCGTGAGGGTGAAGGTCTCGAGCCCTCATATTTAATTCGCAACGACTACCAGTGCTGCCGCTGTCCTTTGCGCAGACTCGCAACCACTTTGGTTCCGTTCTGTGCAGCTGCAGCTACGTTTCTTACCTCCGTTCCTTAACACTTGTTCGGGTGGGTGTCAAATTGCCCCCCCCCGCGAAGGTTTTTCCGGAATGGCTTTCGAACGGCGCGGCGTAGCCGCGCCAAATTTTGCATAGCTGTAGAAAATTAAATAGCGGATCGTTTGATGTAAAAGTTTAGATGTGCCTTGTAAAGTCGCTGACCTATGGCTGGTCAGTCAGGCGATGGTTTCAGCGAAGGCAATTTCTAGGGAATCGTTCAATGTCATACAACAACGGGGTGTTTGACGAAGCCACACATCTCTGAGATGCTTTCTTGGGCAACACAAACATTGAATGAGCAAATTACGTTGACCTAAGGTCAGGTATGAAGGTTAGACCAAGGTCAAAACCAACCTGGTTTATCACTGTAGGGCTTGCTGTATGGGATAGTTTCTGGTACTCATTTCGAATTTATTGATAGCAGGAACCGCATTATACATCTTCCATTAACTTGTTAGATGTCAATAGGTCATTGACCCAGGATAACTCAGGTCGATAGGCTTTTAAGAACATACTGCCTAGCGTAATCCTTGTCGATTATTCAAATGCGAAACTCAGAGCAGTTTTGTATTATATTAGTCACCATGGCCTTCAAAAGGTCAAACGAGGTCACTCACCTTGATTGAGCTTGTGATCTTTCACTTAGAAGCAGACATCTAGGTTCTGGGGGCACTTTGGAGACCAACCTGGAATTTGACTTCGTTTGACCTTATTTGACCTGAAGGTCATTACCTAGGAATCTCAAGCTTTGACCTAAGTGAATTTACGTACAGGTCAACACACGGTGTAAATTTGGTGTCTCTAGCTTTCGTAGTTCCCGAGATCTCAGGGGAGCCAAATTGGTTCCCCTGCCCGAGCGAAGGGTATCTAGCCGGCCACCCGGGCGCATGTTAAAGTAACAAGTGTAACCAGACCATTTTCCGCCATGTGCTTACAACGCTTATCGCCGACGATCCATACTCCCCACAATCTTGAGCTTACGGCTCTCATGTGCGATCGTTTTGATTTCAATCACGCACAGTCCTATCTTTATCTAGGGCGAACTTTATCCGCATGATCCCTGTCGCTACCTACTACCATTTGACCGCGATCATTCGCATGCGCACTTTTGTCTTACCGCCTTCCGAATTTTTGTCTTTGACAGGCTTTTTTGCTGGCAACGGTCATCCCATATCATATTTTGCCTGCGATCTGGTTCATGCAAGATTTACGCACGATCATTTGCTGTTCGTCTTTTGCCCGCATGACCTTTTCCACTCGATCTTCTGCGAGCGATATTTTTCCGCACGACCATTCACCTTACGCTCTTTTGCCCGCACATCCATTTCCAATTGCGGCCATTCCTTATTGATCAAACATTGCAATTGCTGGCATTACCTGGGTGCAAAATACGAACGACATGGATGCAAGACATTCAAGCTCGCGACGATTGTGACGGACGTAACGCACTCGTATGGCTAATTTTCCGCATTCCGGTTGGCAAAATGCCATTGTAGAGATGGAGGGTTGCGAGAGATTTTGTTGTGTCGGCAGAAAAGAAACATTAACATCTACTTGACAGTGTTACGCACACTTGAGCGCTTGATTACATCACATATCACGGCTAAGGCGCTGTGTGATTTATGCAAGATTGTAGTAAACACTTTTAAGGGCTAGAAGCGCAGACTCCCGAAATCTGATTTCGCCGTCTGTACCAGTAAGCTTTTATCATCGTCCACATCAAATGACATGATACTGGACAAGCTCGCCCAGAACTTCGTCAAACCTGGTGTTCTAATTACACTCCTGAGTGTAGACATGTGTGCTCCTGGTCAGCCTGGCCGCGTTCCCACGTGACGCACGAGCCAGACACCCTCAGCACCGCCTTCTGACGACGTGCAGACCCTTATCATAGCCATATGCGCTTAGTGAAGCATGCGGCTCCTTCGGGCAGTATTTGTATGCTATCTTTTTCCTTGCACTGCGCCACGCTCTCGTCCCGTGGTCCGTGATGTGCAGCAGCCGGCTGCCCAGCTGCCGTCCGGCTGATCAGCTGCCTTTCGGCTGTCCAGCTGCTGTCTGGTTGCTCAGCTGCCGTCCGGCTGCTCAGCTGCAGCCCGATTGTTCAGCTGCCGTCGGATGCACAGTCCTTGGTCCAGAACCATGTGCCTGGTCGTGGGTGGTCGACCGGGGTAGTTGCGTCGGGGGGGGGGGGGGGGGGGTCAGAAGCAATATGTGCGGCCGGTCCTCCGGTCTGGAAATTATTACCTGGGTCTGTACCAGGATATTCTACAGGGCAAAGTCAGGACACGGTCAGTAAATGAGACGCTGGTCGGACCGTATCGGGAGTGGCTACCCTCGCTGACATCCCCTCCCTCCAATACCGGCTTCCTCTCCTTTCTGTCTGGACGCATGGAGTTAGTGTTGTCTTATTGTGCGTCACAAAATGTATGTGGTTTCGATGGTAGTGTCAACGTTGCTAAATTAATAGGAACTGTGGTGGTGTAAGGGAACATCATGCTACCTATGTCTTTTCTGAGATATTCTGAACAGTACGTCTGGTGTGCTTGCAGGTGTCGTTTTATGACAGGGTGCAATGTGACGCATGTTTCAATCGAAAAGAAGCATAAATGATGAAGCGACGGGTTGAGGTGCCTGTCTTTTGCTATGCTAAGCTTCCTGAGTATCGGCAATCATGGTCACACTTCTCATCTGTTGGCTGAAGTGGGTAGCTCAAAGTAAGTGTACCAAAAGCTCTCCCGCTCAACAGAAGATGATGGATTCTCTGCGCGATGCGAGCATGTGCTCGCGGGATATTTGACGCAGCTGAACGCCGGCAGATCCCGGAGCCGGACTCGGCGTTCCAGCACATCGACATCGACAACAACGGCGAGCTTATGGCCGCCATCAACACCAAGGGCAACTGCTACGTGTGGGCGCTGTGTGAGTGTGCGACGGTTCAGGCGGGCGCATGGGGAGGGGCTTCAGTGGTCGTGCGGTGTATCGGCACCGGTCGGCGCCCTTGGCCCCGCTCGGAGCGCTGCTGGAGAGACATGGGCCGTTTTGACGAACTCCTATTTGCCCGAAGCAGCTCCGGGGGATTATGATTAAAATTGTTTTCATGTAAGCATTGTTGCAACTTGCAGCTACTTTCCTTTAATTGGTAGGATAGTTGGGACCTAAATTATTCCCTGAAAGCTTTTACAACCCTATGCTTTGACAAAACATTTTCAGAAAAACGTCTCGGAGCGATTTACGTCGTGACCACCCGTGTAAACAGCTAGCGCCGAGGGGGAAGTCCATCGGCGCCATATGACCAACGTAGTTGGTGCGTCTCAAAACTCAAATCATCATCATGAGGGGGAAGTCTGACACATGTGGCCCGCTGGGTGTGGGGAAGCATGCGCTAATGAGGCCGGCTGGTGGTAATGATGCGCGGTATAGTCGCTCCCATGTGACGGACTGACATTGACGATTTGGAGGGGGGGGGGGAAGGGGATGGGGTAGGCATCCACCCACCCAGCCATTCCGGCACCCATCGGCGCCGGCCAGCCGCCACTTGGGCCGCGCTGGGGACCGCGACAGATGGTCTGTCGGCGCGGTGATCACACACCTCGTCCCGTCTCCGGAGTGGTAATGGCGGCCGCAGAGAGGTCTCCCGCGGGGCGTTGCCTAATTCGTGCCGCGATGGCGACACCGGCGCCGCTGATGGTTCCGACTCGACGAGTTATGGGCTGTCGTCTCCCGGCGCGGTTCACCGGAAAGTGTCGCGGATTACCACGTAAAGGATAACGGCTGCGTGCCCCGCCGGAGGAGCCTGCCGCGCGGAACGTGGGAGTTCGCTGTGGAATCTGTGATTTGCGTGTGTTTTTGCGTAGAGTTTTTTTATCATCGTTTGGCGAGTCAAATTGCTAGCACGGCTGTTGTGTTGCGTGTGAGACCTCGATTCTCTCCGCACACGAGACTGCTGTCGGGACGGACAGAAGCGTACGTTTTGTGGCGAGTGGCGATGGCGGCATGAGACGCGCCGGAGCGGCCCATCGTGACCCGGGAGAGTGGGACGCGCGCGTGACACGCGGCCCGGGCCGTTGCAGCGGCGGGCGAGACGGACCAGGCGCCGGTGGAGATCACTCCCAAGCGGAAGATCGAGGCGCACCGGCACTACGGCCTGAAGGCGCGCTTCTCCCCAGACGGCGAGTGAGTACCGTCGGCGGGCTGGGCTCTGGCGTACCACCACAGGGTGTGGGGAGGGGGCTGGTGTCGACGGGCTTCCTCCAGGCTCGGAGGAGTGCGGGGGGGAGCTGCGCTCGACAATGCGTCACGGGACGGAGATGGGACGCCGGGCACAGGGACGAACCGGCGCGGTCTGGTGCCGCTAAAGCTGACGGATTGACTTTCGACAGAATGCTGCTCCCGAAGTTGTGGACATTTGCTTGCGCCTGGGATGTGCTGGGCGTCGTGGGCTTGCAGCAAACGCCAACCAGTACGGTGCCTTTCTGCAATTCTTAATTCATTACGCACAACGGGTCTGTGGTGGTCAACATTAGCCCACATGTGGTAACGCACATCACGTCCATGGACTCGCTCTGAGGCTAGCAAAACATTTAAGACGAATACGGTCCCTCTCTGGTTACTGTATAGTGTCTACTCGTGTATCAGATTGATGAGATCCACCCACATTAAAACATTCAGAATCGTGACCAGTGCGTGATGTGCTGTCTACAGAGGCCCTCCCTGGTAGGGCTGCCTTTACCCAATCCATGCGCTACCCGTGGGATTGCGCCCTTACCCACCTGTTACCCATTCGTAGTTCGTTCTGCCCACTGTTTGCCCAACCACTCTGGTTTCTGCGGCACTTTGGTGCCAAATTATGAAAAATTAGGAAATTTTACACCCAAAGTCATGTTCTGCATTCATGATTGCACAAGCGAGGTGAATTACACTATTTATGACAAAATAGTGGAGGCAGTAACATCGTGTGGCCTTTTTGGAAGTCTACATCCGCAATTTTGTAAACGCCTTGAGCATAAACGCAATTTCCCAAACCTGAACCCAACTCAACCCGTCACCCATTTTAGGCGGCTGCCGGTGGGTTTCACCAACCCGTAGACTTCTGCAACGTGCCATACAAAATGCCTACGACTTCAGCCATAGGACTCAGTAATGCCACATTACTTCGCACACACACTCATCACCGTGCGAGTGAGCCATCCAAAATGTAACCCCGAACAAAATGCAACGAAATAAAAAAGCTCGCAGTCCAAAATACAACGCAGCACCAGGTTTTGCCATCGTACATTTCAGTAGCTCGCGTGGTGGGCATGTCAGCGTCCGCAGCACACCGATCTGAGAATCAGTGTTGATTATCAGAGATCAGACGTGGGTTCCGCTGAGCAGAGCGCTGCGTAGGTGAGGCCGCGCACCTTTAGTTAATTACAGTTTGCTGGAAGGATGGCCAGATAGTACTGTAATGCATATTGAGCAGCCATTTATAACGGCCTCGTTGCGATCTGTCTTCTGAGAGGATTACCCTCCCGACCCGACCCGGAACTCATTAATTTGTTAAATTGTCAAAAGTACCTTTACGCCGTCGGGAAACCCGGACTCATTTTCATAATGCGGCGGTGTTAGTGCACACAGTTTAAAGTCATGTCATCGCTCAGCAAGTAAATGGCCGGCCCAGATTGTGCCGTCATGAGCAGGGAGAATGCATGATATCATCCCACGCACCTTAATCTCACCGATCAAAGTAAAGGACATGAAAGGACGATGGTGCATACTTGTATTTCCACTTTCTCTTTGAAGGTCTTTGTGTTTTTTCACGTAGCCGGATGGCGAAGAGAAAGCACGGCGGTGTACATTCTGTTTTTCCCATTCTTCATTTACCATCGTAGGTATTTCACATTGACTGATCATAGCTTCGTGTCGAGTCAATGCGTCTAGAATCAACGCTAAAGTCATGCAGACAGCAGGCGCACGCACGTTTACGCACGACACGCCCGGAGGTCGTGGATGCACAGAGAATCTCACTCGGTGTTTCCGAGCTGAGAGTGGCCGGCTCAATGCGCGAGACAGAAACCCTGCCGACCCGGTGTCGGGACGTCACCTGGAAGCCGACTGTGCATTTGAGGATGTCTTCCGGTGGAACACCGGTAGCCAGCGTGAGCTCTGAAACGGTGTATGTGCAGCCGATGTGCGCTGTCTGGTGCTCCGCCGCCACTCGTCGCCGCTCTCGCAGAAGACAGCATGCTCTCGCAGGAGAAACTGACTCTCACAGGAGACATCCGACTCTCGTAGGAGACAGCTAACTCTCACAAGAAGCTGCTGATATTCGCAGAAGACAGCTGACTCTCACAGAAGACAGCTGACTTTCGGAGAAGGCAACTGACTCTTGCAGGAGACAGTTGACTTTCGTAGGAGTCAGCTAACTTTCTCAGGAGACAACTGATATTCCTAGGAGACAGCTGACTTTCGCAGGAGACAGCTGACTCGCTGACAACGCAGGCTTCGCGCACTAGTCACCTCGTCCTGAGCTCTGTACAAAATTCCGCTGACTGCTGAGTCTGAATCTAGCCAGGTGTATCACTCGGGTCAAAAACATGTTTAGCTTTCCGACTGCGTTTTTCGTTAAATTCCCGTCGTTTGAGTTACATTTTTGGCAGATGTCTCGAAAATTAAAACTATGTCGGTTTTCTTTAGCCGTTGCCGTGCACCAGCAAGTAACGTCTGGCAGGCGGGAGGCGGGAGCTCAAAGTGTGTCAGGGGTGCGGCGAGAGTGCCGTCAGACAGGCGCGGTCACGGGTGCGAGTAACCTGCTCGGGTTATCACCGTACACACTGGGAGATCGGAGGCGCTTGAGGAGACCGAGACAAGGCCTGCCGAAAGGATCCGATGCTTACTCAATTGCAAAGTGCGATGGCAGTTTTGTGGAAAGCGACATGGATATGTATTAAGTTGTGGAGGTTTTCGTGGTTTACAAATACGATATAGTCAGGTTTCAAGGCACTTTGTGTCGCTAATATGTCTAAATACACGAGACTTGCCTTTATACAGACAACGCAGGCGTGTGGCTCCTTCTTTTGTCCCGACACCATCGCCCGTGCGTTGACGGCGTGCTGAAACCTGCGCTTTCTCAGAGAGCAGGGCCAGGATGCTTGAAAAAAGCAGAGTTGCTTCGACAGGCTGGTATGAGCGGATGCTGCTTTCAGCCCCAATTACAGTGGTCCCAAAGGCACATATCCAGTCACAAGAATCACATTTCCTCAGGCCAAGAAGTGGGATGATAAGCTGGACTGGGAAATCCAATGCCGGTGGTTAGGTGTTCCAAGGGCCTGTAGAATATGTGTTCAAAAGTGACGAAGATTTTGTCGCTGTCTTATAATGAAGATATTGGCCTGTCACATCTTATAGGCAGCCCGCAGTGATTACTCGCTCAAAAAGTGCGGCAGCTGATTGTTTATTATGCTTGCGTCTGCGATACAAAAACTGCTGGTGAACGGAAGAACGCTGTGTGACGATGCGCTTGTTGCTATTCCATGTTGTGTGACCACCCGCTTATGCTACCACAGTGAGCGTCAGACCACAGGGGTGAGGTCAGGGCCGTCAGTAGCCGGGCGGGTGAGGTGAGAACCTTTTACCGTCGTTGGACCTGCCCACTGTCTCCACCTCTCCCCGCTTGGACCCGTCAGCGCCAATCAAGCGTCTCTTCTCGATTTCCCAGACCTTTGGTGAGATCTTTCCTGCCGTAGTCTGGCTGACAAGGAGACTGACATCGTGTGAAACATTGCCTAGTCGTTCTGGAGTAGGCGATGGCGGAGACGTGTTGCGTGGTTTGACGGGCTCAAGCTGGGAAATGGGTCTGACATGACGGCTGTGCCACTCCGGAGATAGATTTGAGCTGAGAATGGGTCTGACATGATGGTCTTGTTGCTCTGGACATATATTTGAGTTGGGAATGGGTTTGACACGGGGACGCTCGTGTCAGTCCGGTGATAGATTCGAATTGAGAGTAGGTCTGACATCTGATATCTGAATGACGTCTGACATGGCGATTGGAGCTGGGAATGGGTCTGACATGAGGACGCTCGTGTCGCTCTGGAGATAGATTCGAGCTGGGAATGGTGCTGACATGACGGTCGTATCAACCCTATCATAGATTTGAGTTGGGAATGGGTTTGATGTGAGGACGCTCATATCACTCTGATCACCTGTGGTGAAAGTCATAGCCGTTTTGCAATATGTATGCCGTAAATATGAAAACATCGTCCATTTCTCCTCCACAAAGCTTTTTTAAAAATTCGACAGCCTTATAAATATTCGACAGCTATGGTCATGCTGGTAATGTCAGCTATGAAGTTATACGATTGGTGTTCCCTGCAGAAGTGATATGAGCGTCACTAATTCCCGCAACATTTTTTTAAGGTCCTTGATACCCATACACAATTTCCTACGGGTTCTGAATCTAGTTTGGGACTGTTTGATAAATAAACCCTGATGGATGCGTGGGCCTGATGATGCATATTGGTGGCTGCCGGATGTCAAGATGCCCCATGACACCAGTGCTAACTGGGGGCGGGGCGCTCTCTCGTCTCCGACTGTGAATCGTCACGCGCATGCGCACCGTAAGCTGGTCGGCATATGTGAGAGCACTGTGCCCGTCCCCCAGCCGCCTCACTCACAGCGCCATTCCTCACGACTGCGCTCCGCGTCTGTCTGCGGTCGTCTGGCCGGTCTCTTCGCGGCCGATGCCGTTCAGAAGCTCCGCTCGCGCCGTCCCTGTCTCAGGACATGATATCAGCTGATGTCTGTCTCTCGGCTCGGACACGGGGGCGAGACGGTATCGTATATATCGCGTATATCAGTTGAGCGTGTCCCGCCTGCCCTCGGCACCAGACGTCATACGCGGAACATTTATCACCGGGGAGATCTTGAATCACAGCAACGTGTCAGACGTTTATTGGCTGGCATATGTTCAGTGATAAGTGTCAAGCATATTGCGCGGGCATTAGTGTTCCGTCCTTCCGGGTACGCTCGCAGAAAGCGGCGGTGTGTGCTAGACCGTGACGCGTCGAGTGATGAGGTTCGCTGGGAATCAGTCCTACAGGCTCAGAGTGGACGAAGGCGGGTCGTCTGCGAATGATTATCAACGGCTCCGATTTGTTGGGTGATATTTGACCGTACTCAAGATTACCATGTCC